TATAAACGTAAATGCGCAAAATAAGATTAATGTTAACTTATACTTATGTGCTGTTTAACAAACTTCGTACAATACAATGATGATAAGTAAGATGTTACAATAAGTCGTATCGCAAACAAGAGCTGTATATGACTGATGAAATTTGAAGACATCAAATTGAACAGCAAAATCGCAAACCGAGACATGCGCATAGGTGAACTTAAGCTGTATTAACAACCAACGGTAAATAAGACTTATCGAGATTCTCCGTGTCGCTATGCAAATTGAGGCCGTGAGTTTGTTTTTTAATATGAAGCGTTTCAGATATTAAACGTTTATGATAGTGTTTTTCAAAGTCCAAAATCTCGACATTATCCCAAATAAAATTGTGAGAAAAATTAACTGTGTGATCTGCAATAACAGAGGTTTGCGTAGTGTTTCGTTTAATATAATTTTTGTGTTTGTTGATTCTGGACTGTAAAATTCTACCAGTCTGGCCTACATAGGAAGCCTCAAAATCCTTGCATTTAATTTTATAGACAACAAAAAGACAAGAAAGGGGAGGTTTAGAATCTTTTTGTACTTTTTGAATTTGGACAATTTGTTAAGACTGTAAAAAGCAGAATGTGTGTCAGTCTCTTTAGGAAAAGTTGACGAAAATTTCTCAGAGAACTTTTGTATGTAAGACATCACAAACCAACGAAGAGAAGATTTTTCATCAAGGTTATTGTTAGTCAAAAAAATCTTTAAGTCATTGTTTTTTAAACAATTATATTTGAGTCTTTTTTTAAAAATGTTTTAAATAAAGTCAAGAGGGTAATTATTGTCAATAAGGATATTAATAGCGTAGTCAAAGTTTTTCTTATAGAAGTCAGGATGAGATAAAAAGAAAGCTCTGTCAATAAGACCTATTACCGTGCTTTTTTTCTGGCTAATTGGGTGGTTGGAAAAGTAAGTAAGGTATCTGCCAGAAAAAGTCGGCTTGTGATACCAGTCATGAATTAAGAAATTTTTTTTCTTGATTATAGTGATGTCCAGAAAATTTAGTTTGTTATAACCAACCTCCATAGTAAATTGAAGACGAGGATGATAGGAGTTGAAGAGACAAAGAACTAAGTCAAACATAAAAAAAAAAAGTCAAACATAAAAATTAGTTAGGGGGGTATTTGGAGTATTTCATATGTGAGATGCAAATCTAGCATCNCGTATGATTTTAAGAATTGAGATTTTCAATTCAAAAAATACTTGTAAAAATTTATAAGTATAGTTCGTTACATGTATATATATATATATATATGTACACGCTTAGTTTCCGCACAAACATCCTGCGAATGGCTCGTATCGGCCTTACATATTTCTGTTAAGTCAAACATGTCTCCAGGAATCATCAGAGCTATGTCGTCAACGTATCGAACATAAAAAGGAGATTAAAAAGGCAATGAAGTGATGATGTTCTGTTTGAGGTCTTGCATGACGATGTCAGCTAAAATAGGGGAGAGAGGAGAGCCCATCGGTGCGCCAAAGGTCTGTTTATAAAATTTGTTGTTGAAATTAAAAAAAGTAGAATTATATACAAATTTGATGGCCGTAAAAAATTCTTCTTTAGGTAAGGATGTTTTTTAATTTATAAGATGCCATCTTGTCTTCAAACCATTGATTACTAAGTCAAGTGGAATATTGGAAAACAAGGATGTGACATCAAGAGAAATTAACTCAAAGGAATGCTCAAAATTCACAGTAGAAATTATTTTTGAAAGATGAAAGCTGTTGAACACGAAACTTTTAGGAAGATGAATACTCTTAAAAATGATCTTGTGTAAAAATGATGCAAGGTTATGTAAAGAATTGTTGATTGAAGAAATAATTATTTTGAGTGGATTACCGGATTTATGGATCTTTAGAACACCTAAGCTCTAGGGAGAATTGGTAACAATGAGTTTAAATTACGATAAGTGATGTCCGAGATATAATTGTGAGACCTCCATTTTTTTAACAATGTTTTTAACAAACCTAATATAGAGTTGACAGGGTTCTTTTTAATTGGAGCATATGTGTTAGTGTCAGACAACAATTTCTCCATATCATGAGTGTAAGTAACCTTGTCCATCGCGACTACAGTGTTGCCCTTATCCGTTCTAGTATAGATGATAGAAGGATGATGTTTTATGAACAAAGTAGTAAATTTAAGAGCGTTGTTAATTTCAATATGATGTGTTATATTTGTGTAATTGGAATCTCTCAATTGTTATATGTAGGCCAGACTGGTAGAATTTTACACTCCAAAATTAACGAACACAAAAATTATATTAAACGAAACACTACGCAAACCTCTGTTATTGCAGATCACACAGTTAATTTTTCTCACAATTTTATTTGGGATAATGTCGAGATTTTGGACTTTGAAAAACACTATCATAAACGTTTAATATCTAAAACGCTTCATATTAAAAAACAAACTCACGGCCTCAATTTGCATAGCGACACGGAGAACCTCGATAAGTCTTATTTACCGTTGGTTGTTAATACAGCTTAAGTTCATCTATGCGCATGTCTCGGTTTGCGATTTCGCTGTTCAATTTGATGTCTTTTCAAATTTCATCAGTCATATACAGCTCTTGTTTGCGATACGACTTATTGTAACATCTTACTTATCATGATTGTATTGTACAAAGTTTGTTAAACAGCACATAATTGTAAGTTAACATATTAATCTTATTTTGCGCATTTACGTTTATGAAGAAATTTAATATTTTGTTATCTTATATTTGTAGAATTTGATAAAAACCTAAACTGAAGGTCAAAACGTTATTATGTTTCATTTATACACATGAATAAATAATATTTCCATCACATATTGCACAACAACACCCGTGTTTTTAGTTCCAACTGCCTATCACGTTTGAAATTTATGAAAGAGATGTATATGTGATACCAACAGTTCATGAAATTGCTTCTTGTGCCACTGGAAAAAAACATTATAAAACTAATAAAGAAATTATAAAACCAGTCTGTGTTTATGACTATAATAAAAATATGGGTGGTATAGATAACACAGGCCCACAAAAAACAGTTGTCTAAACTTTGAACGAAACTAGTGTATTCTTATGTATTTTGAGCCGCTGAATCCGAATCCGAACTCAGAATTTCCCCTAGACGTCAGAATTTTTCTCTAGCCTAGGAAAAAAGTGTAAAATCTAGAATATTCCGGGCTCTCCGATGGTAATATTTGTACAGAAGCAAGCGGATGTGAGTATTTTTATAAATTTCGAGTCGCTGAATTCATATATGACCTCAGAATTTCTCTACAGGGCCTCAATTTTCCTAGTCTAGGGGAAATAGTGGAGAAGTAAAAAAACTTCAGATTTCTCGTAGGTTATATTTATGCACACGAAAGTTGATGAGTAAATATAATAACTTTATGTATTTTGATTTACAATTTTAGCATCAATATTTTCAAATAAAGTCTCAGTTATCTTAGTTACCTTCAATTTATAGAGAAAATGTAAGGGAGTTTGTAACTGGTATAAAAAGTATACATTTTATACTAGACTAGGGGAAAACTGAGGCTCTGTAGAGAAATTCTGAGATCATATATGAATTCAGTGACTCGAAATTTATAAAGATACTTATCAGCTTGCCTCTGTACAAATATGATCTTTAAAGAATCTAGAATATCTTAGATTTTACACTTTTCTCCTAGGCTAAGGAAAAATTCTGACGTCTAATAAAACTTCTGAGTTCGGATTCAGAGACTCAAAATACATAAGAATACACTAGTCCCGTTCAAAGTTCAGACAATTTTTTTTGTGGGCCTGTGTAATTATTGATAAGCAATTTGCTTTGACAGAATCTGTAAGGAAATCAATGAAAAAGTACCAAAAATTATTTTTTCATTTAGATTAATTTAGTACTGAATAATGTCTGTGTGTTATATAATATGAAAAGCCAACCAAATTATCTTTTCCTACATTCCGTCTAAAAGTGATTAGAGATTTATTGAAACATAATTCTAGGAACTTTGTTTTGTTTCAGCTTAGTCCCTCTCACTGTATAAGTCATTTTCCTAAAGCACTGTATAAGTCATTTTTCTAAAGCACTCGACGGAAATTCATTACGAAATTTGTCGCGATAATGTGTGTTGTGTGCATTAGATAAAAAGAGGCGTCGAACTCGTTATATGTGCACTATTTGTCATACTTATGCGTAACGCCCTGCTTTGAAATGTATTACACAAACAAAATACAAGTCTAAATGTTATTTTTTCAGGTTTACTAATTATAAAGAAATACATCAACAACGGAAATAAAACAATAAAAAATTAAATAAAATAATAAATGAAGAAAAAAAATAAAAAGAACAAAACAATAAACAAATGATTAAAATAAGAAAAAGTTTGAAAATAAAAAAAAATATATAAAATATAAAAACACAAAAAAAATAAAGAAGCTACAAAATCTTTCTACGTCCACGTTGTTAGCTCTGGGTAACGCTACAGCAAAGTTGTATATATCTGCTGTAATTTTTTTACCGATATTGTTCCTATCCTTTAAAATGGAAGAAATCTGACTTTATATTCGTAATCAGCGACCTCAAAAACCTTTAACAACATTTCATTTTTTACATTAAACACTTTTTAGATTTTTGTTTTCTTTAAGAACCGACAGGCATTATGGCGGCGCTGAATCTCCTTCATAAATTGCATAAGATATACGATATATATGTTAATAAACCTAGGATATCAATTTTACAAGATTTCAAAAAAAAAAATGCCTGCCCTCTAAGGGTTAAGTGTATAAGAGGCAAGAAATCCGCGCCGGGTGGATGGCCTGACATGCTCCATATGGGTTTGCATTTCGATGCTGGCCTCCGGGGCCATTAGACAATGCCTAACGCAGTGTTTACGGGAGGGACTTGTTCCTGAGACATGGAAGCGGGCAAGACTGGTATTAGTCCCCTAGGCGGCGCGCCCGAGGGGTGCTCATTCCTCCGTATCGTACAGGCCTTTGTGCTTATTAGACGAGATGGGTAAATTTTTGGAATGTGTCATTGCTAATCGGTTGGAGGTTATCATCAGTGAAGGTAGTGGACTATCTAGAGGCCAGTACGGATTTAGGCTCGGCGTGTCCACAAGCGATGCTGTGCAGAAAGTTAAAGAAGTTGTAAATGACCACCTAGAGCATGGTCGGATATGTGTGGCGGTCAGTCTGGGTATCTAGAATCGGTATCCGTTCAGTTTTCTCCTGTGGGAAGCGATTAAAGCTGCCTTAAGAAGATGGAATCTTCCAATCTATCTGACGGCAATCCTGGACGACTACTTAAGAGATAGGCACATCGTGTACCCGTGCCAAGATGGTAAAGTTCTAAGGTGACTTGACGTGTGCCTTAGGGCTCTGTTTTAAAGCAGTTGCTTTGGAATATCGCATACGATTCCGTTCTGAATCTCCGGCTATTGCCACATTGCGATGCTGTCTGCTATGCAAACGATACGTTAGTCTTAGTGGCGGGAAAAGACGACAGGTGACCGTTGGGCGTGCTGACTTCTCTGCGGCAGTTGTATCTCAACATATATTGGCCCTTAGCTTGACACTGACTGCGCACAAAACAAAGGCCCTGATATTCAGGTCTCGGACTAAGAATGGGAGCTCGGTCAATTTGACAGTTGATGAGGCCCAGGTTGCAACGCGTTTGTTCATCAAATATCTGGACTTCATGATTAATGATAGATAGTGTTTTAGGTAGCACTTCATATACGCCGCGGATAAGGCTGGACGCGTAGCGGTCTTGCTCATGCGCCTCCTCCCTAACATTCGGGGACCTCGGGAGCGCACCCGTCGTCTTTACTCGGCGGTTGTGCACTCAATCTTAATGTATGGTGCACCAGTCTGGCACGACAAATTGGGGTAGAGTAAGTCCGCGGCTTCGTACGCAGTAGTACAAAAGAAAATTGCAATACGCGTTGCTAGCGCGTATAGAACGGTAGCACTGGAGACGGCTAGGATGCTCTCCCGTGTTCTCCTTGCCGACCTGCTCGCCGTACAGCTGGCCGGGGTGTATAAAAAAATTCGTGTTAGTAGAGCACGTATAGCACAGGTGGGAGACGAAGAGATAGAAGTAGATTGTGTTAGGCGCCTCATTAACAACTGGCACTCTAGGCTAACCCAAAATGTTCGGTACGGGAAGAGAGTTGTCGAGACTATTGCCTCAGTCCTGGGAGTCTAGGTAGGGAGGGAGCACGGGGAACTGCTTTTCCACCTCACCCAGGTTCTCACTGGGCATGGAGTCTTCGGCTCCTACTTGTGCAAGATTGGTAAGGCGGAAACTCCAGCATGTGAGCACTGTAATGCAACGGTCGATACCGCTCAACACACGCTGGAGGAGTGTCCTGCGTGGACGGACCAGCGCGCGGAGATGCGTAACGTTAAAAAGGTGAATCTCTCCTTGCCCGTAGTTATAAAACAAATGTTGGAGACCCGTGAGAAATGGCTCGCCGTCGCGTCTTATTGCGATTATGTTAAGCGGGCCAAAGACGAGACCGAAAGGGCCAGGCAGGACCAACCGGCGTGAGTGGATAATTAAGCGAGATGACGTGGTCGAATTTGACAGTCTCGCCAACCGACGTAAATTGTAAGAGTCAACCATGCAATATCAAATATACCTAGACCTGTAGCTATAAGTCTAAAAGAAGTCATAGATGGAGTAAGGTGGGAGCCTACTCTATCATTACATGTAATTCACGGGGAATGGAGGTGGAGAGTGGTGGTCGCACTCTACTTCCAAAATTTTAATATAAAGAGTGGAGTTTTTAGCTCAACACAAGGGTGGATTCCCGTAAAGTCATAGCCGTAAGGCTTATCAAAGTTCCACCCGCTAAGTGCAGGTAAACTACAAAGGAGTTTTAGTGGGTACGCCTTTAGCAAGTCTCACATAATTCTTTGCTTTCCCCCCGGGGTCAGAGTATCCATAAAAAATTTCCCCTTCTAAAAAAGGCCAGATTGCAAGTAGACTGCGAATCAAACGCCATATAAAGAAACAAAGAGCAATAAAGGATTCTCTTGGTATTCAAATAAAGATATTTTTTCACTAAAATCTGTCCAACCTCCTCTGACTTCCAACTGGGGAAGGTAGAAGAAAAAATAAAAAAAAAGGAGCAGAGAAAGAAGAGGAAAAAGTTAAAAGATAAGAAAGTAAATGTTGTCGTAAAATCCAGAGTGATTTTGACCGGGCCATTGAGCAATTACGGAAAACACACGTCATTGCTCAGCCGTCCCGAATTTGTTGAAAAGTAACAAGCAGCATTCTCTTGTAAAGAAAATCTGCTTGTTAGGCTTAGTAAGTAAGTAGAGTGCAAACGCAGCATGCGTCGTTAGCGGCTCACTTGGGATCACCAAAGTTTTATTTGGGTCACTAAGCTGCTGAGTAGTCGCGATCGATCCCTTTAAAAGATCGATCGTGAGTATCGACAGACAGATCGTGAGTAGCTGTTGACAATACTATGTGGCTCCGAGTCCATCCGGAGAGTTTACCGCAGTATAGCAGTAATAGCGTGCGAAAATTGTACAACAGTTGTAAAATAATACCTAATAAACTTTGCCAGTTTTTGTAAAAGAATATCATTCATCAAGTCCTTCGACTCCCCTGATCTCAAATTTGGTGGCAGCGGTGAGATAATAAACCAACTACCAAGACGGAATTCTGTACAAAGAAAATTCCGGTTGGATTGTGGAGGAAATAACAAGGACATTAAGGATTTTGGGTGAGAAAAGAAAAGAAAACTGTGCAAAAAAGAAATATATTCTAAAGAAGAATAAAATCCCGGCTAACGATAAGTAGGAACGGGTTCTCAGCACCTGAAACAGAAAAAATAACAGAAGTATTAATACAAGCAAGTGGTGCAAAAAAGAGAATAGAGATTCACTGCTCAACACTCACGATCTCGAGTTACGCACGAAACTGACCTACTGCATTAAGCAAAGTGAGCAGTGTTACAAGCGGAGTAGGAGCAGCGGACAAGAGGCAAGAAAAGGAAGTGAAGCCCACCGCAAGTACTCCGAGGAAGCATTAACGAAAGAAGCAGTACGGATGCATAAGAGGATCATCGGAAGAAAAAAAAATTCGGCTCAAACTGAGGCAAGGTGAGCGACAACCGAAGCGACAACCAAAGCGGAAACGTACAGCGGTAACGTACAGCGGCGGCGTACGGCAGCAGTAGCAGCGTCAGCAGCGACGGCGGTGACGTAGAAGCCAACGACCCAGATAGCTGCGTAACAAAAAAAAAAGAGAACCTGAGTAGGCGAGAAAATGAGAGCGCTAGCGTAAGTCAAAAATTCTATAATAACACCTTGTAAATGTCAGAAAACTGGCAGATAGGTCGCCCGGAAAAGCGCGATTAGAATCCGCTCGTATATACTGAAAGATTAAAAGCTTGATATCAACGCAAGAACCGCGAACTGCTTCGGCGAAATTGGAGGCGCACACGTACAGGCGCCGGTTGAGGTTCGAAAGTGATAGCGACTCAGAATCACACCTGAACGTAATTACGGAAAGAGAGTTCCAATTAGAAATAAACCCGAGTATAGCTGGAAATCTTAAGAAGGGAAGAAGGAGAAGACGGTAATTGCGGACCTTCTTCTTTAATTTCGTATCAAAGCAAAATGTTCCAGGCGGGCGAAAGCAACCTCGCGTCAAATTTAGATGACGTAGAGGGTTCTAGATATAGAAAATAGTACTATTTATATAGGCGACCTCAGGACGCAGTAGACAGAAAGATAACGCATATGCAATACGAGCTAGTCGGAGCTCGTGATGCGGGGACCGCGGGGGGCGCAGGGTCAGGTAGGCCAAGTTATGACGCCACCAAGAAAGTTTTACGGCAAGTCTTACGGACATTAGGGGCAATGGACGCACGTGTAGATGCGTTAGGTAGGTAAATGGGAGAGCTACGCAAAGAAAGAATGCGTGAGATAGATGCTCCACTCACACGACGAAACACACACGTACGCCCGAGCAAGCAACTCGATATCACGGACGGACGGATAACGACACCCAAAACCATGTAGTTAACAGGAGTCAGCTACAATTGAAAGACGCGGTGAGTTTAATATCAGCAATTGACGAAAAATCAGCCAAGCAAATACGCGAGTATGCAGCAAGAGTTGTTAGCCCGTTGGACGAATCTGCTTTGTTACAAGCAGTGTTATATACAAAATTGCGAGGTCAGGCCTTACTAGATTTCGAAACAAAGAATATCTGCAACTTCCGGCAGTTAAAGAGGAAATTGAGAACACTTACGCTGCAAAGAAACGTGTTATTCATGTACAAATAGATTTCAACACGTTAAGGCAAAAAATGGCGAAAATGCACAAACATACGGCCAACATGTAAATCAGATCGCCATGGAGTTGTATGGGATCATGGTGGAAAGTAGGTGGCACACCGTTAAGGAAAAACGTATAATTATGAGCATAATTAGAGGAGCAGGCATTACAGCAATTCCAGATAGAATTAAAAAGCGAAATTAGAGTAATAATTCGCTCACAAAATTATGGGACTCTACAGGAAGTCCCGGCTATAAATCCGGCTAGCTCAGAAGAAAAAGTGACAGCACCTCATAGCAGTCAAGTGAAAAATCAGAATCCGCAAAATAGAGGAAAATTTAATAAAAACACATGTTTTAAATGCGGAAAGCACGGACACTTTGGTCGAGATTGCCGAGCAAGCAAAATAACGTTGCCAACGGCGGGCAGCAGAATGAATACCGTTGAAAAATACTACAATTATTGCAAAAAAGCAGGACATTTCAGGGAAAATTGTTGGGCCCTGAATGATAAAAAAAACAGGAAGTATCCAGGAAAGAAATCAAAAGATACATCACATAAGAAGCAAAATAAAAAACAGACTCAAAGTGACAATAGCGACTCATTCGAGAATGAGGATAGAAGCAATAAAAAGAAAAAGGCTATAACGATGGCAGAGCTTCAAATTACAGAGGTAAACGCTACACAAGCAGGTCTGGACGTTGTAAAACTGCCAATTCAAGAAACAAAGCGTGAAAAAGCGGAATTACTGTATGACACGGAGGCTTCAGTGTCACTTATTAAAAAGAAATGCTTAAAGGGGAAAACCCCCGCGGAATTAACCAGCGTAGAATTAACAGGAGTTACGGGACAAAGCTTGTGTGATAGAAAACTTTATGGCAACCATCCAGTTAAAAAATAAAAAGATCAAACATCCTATATTCATTGTGAGAGATAACTTCCTTATAAGCTACGAGGAGATTTTAGCAATTTCTTACAGAAGTATAACGTTACTCATGACTACAAGAAAGGAAAAATTCTCGTAGAACAAAAGACGTTGGCCTTGCAACCTTATAAAAACGTAGAAATACCATCAAGATGTGAGGCCATTATACAAGCAGTAGCGGATAGCAACCAGGTAGGCTTAATTAAAGCAGAAGAGAAGCAGCCAGAAACATTAATCGGTAACTGTCTCGTACAACCTAAGAACTATTTATGCCCCGTGAACATCATTAATACGATGGAACAAACCGTAAAACTACAGATTCAGCAGATAAAAGTTAAGCCGTTAACAGACATTGACGGAAGCCTAGGAATCAACATCGTGGAAAACGGGTTTAGTGGTATTACACGCCTAGAAAAAATAAAGAGTATGTTGCGAGCACAACACTTAAATAAAGAAAAAAAAAGGAAGCTTTACGAATTAAGCGAGGAATATAGTGATGTTTTTTACTTAACCAGAGAACCGCCGAGTAAAACAAACACAGTAAGACATCAGATTTCGGTCAGAGCCGATACCGCGCCGATTAATGTAAGGCTATACCGACTGCCGGAGAAACATAAAATAGAGGTCGACAAACAGATAAAAGAAATGTTGGAAAATGAAACAATTCGGCCTAGCAAGAGTCAGTGGAATGCGCCACTTTTGGTTGTGCCTAAAAACATGAATGCATCGGGTGTTTGACAACTGCGAATAGTAGTAGATTTTCGACGTCTAAACGACGTAACCATTGGAGATTCGTTCCCTCTGCCTAACATAACGGAAATCTTGGATCAGCTGGGAAATGCTAAGTATTTCTCCACGCTGGACTTGGCGTCGGGGTATCATCAAATACCCATAGAAGAAACGGACAAGTGCAAGACAGCATTTTTGAAACCGTACGAGCATTCCGAATATAATAGAATGCCCTTTGGTTTGAAAAACGCGCCAGCCACGTTTCAGAGACTGATGAACTCGGTTTTGTCCGGATTACAGAGCATGAAATGTTTCATATATCTAGATGATATAGTGATACATGGAGCCAGTCTGGAGGAACACAGAAAACGACTAAAAGATGTGTTCGAACGGCTTCGAGAAAATAATTTGAAACTATAGCCGGACAAATATGTGAGTTTTTCCGGAAGAAGGTCACATACTTAGGGCACGTTATTATCGAAAAAGTGATAAAACCAGATCCATCGAAAATTAGTGCTGTAAGACATTTTCCTGTGCCAAGGGTGAAGGATATACAAGCTTTCATAGGTTTAGCAGGCTACTATCGGAAATTCATTGACCAATTCTCAAGAATTGCAAAATCTCTGACTCAGCTAACACGAAAAGGAGTTAACTTCGAGTGGGTCCAGGAACAGCAGCAAGCGTTCGAGATATTAAAAGAAAAAGTAAATAGCGCACTTTTGCTAGCGTCCGGATTTCACAAAAAAATTTATTGTTACAGCCGACGCATCAGGTTACGCAATCGGAGCTGTCTTGTCGCAAGGTCCGATATGACAAGATAAACCTATCGCATATGCAAGCCAAGTATTAAACACAGCTGAACGGAACTACAGTACCACAGGTATATTATGTCTGTTCTGGACCAATATTCTAATAGGCGAGTCGTGTTGTGTCCTTGTCTATCTAAAGGCGTTCGAGCATGCCTTACTAGAAACAGTCCGTAAGAAAGAAAGAGAGAGAAATAGAGTCGAGAGCAAGGGGGAGGGGAAAAGGGGGGAATAGTTCGCGCCGTAGAAAGGAGGGAGAACAGATCGCGACGGAGAGGGGAGGGGGGATTTGATCGATATTCGAGTATCGATTATTAATGATTTGATTATTGATTATTTTTGATTCAATTATTATTAATCAAAAGAAATTGATTGTTCTGACCCACGAGGCAAGAGGGGGAGCGGGAACTCCGCGCAAGAGGGATCATTGGAAGCATATTCGTAATATTGAGAGCAGGATCGGAGGACTTGGGCGTTGCGGATGAAATAACGTAGGAGTGTAAGTGGTGTCGGCGGAGCGTTGTTATCGGCTCTACCGGAACTAGCCAATTAGTGACAAGCCGTAAAAATAAAGTATGCATTATTCGGTGTGTTTTATTTATTTTAGGTAAATGAGTATTATTGATGGCGTCAACGGTTGTAACGTGTTCGAACGTGTTCAAGGTCGTTCGGATGATGACGTCATCGCTAAAATAATGTTTCCTCTTAATTAGGATTTTAAATTGCGCAGTAAAATAAATAATTCCGAGAAAAATCGCAAGGATGATGACGTCATCGCTAAAAATAGAACTCGGACAGGTCCGTGCGTGTTCAAGGTAGTTTGGATGATGACGTCATTGCTTAAATAATGTTACCGCTTAAGTAGATTTTTTAATTGCGCAGTAAAATAAATAATTCAGAGAAAAACCGCAAGGATGATGACGTCATCGCTAAAAATAGAACTTGAACAGGTCCGTGCGTGTTCAAGGTCATTTGGATGATGATGATGACGTCATCGCTAAAATACTGTTACTTCTTAATTAGTTTCTTTTAATTGCGCAGTAAAATAAATAATTACGAGAAAAACCACAAATTTCCTGGAAGCGGTGCGCGTAACTGCGTAGTAAAATAATACTAATTTCGAGAAAAACCGCAACTTCCCGAAAGTGCGTTTTTTCTTATCGCCGAAGCGATCAGGCACTCCAGTTTGAAGAATTATTTCCTGCGATAACAACTCCGTAAAAAACCGTTACGTACCGAATGTGGTTTTTTAACGGTTTTTTTAAATTTGAAATTTCAAATCTAAAGATCGCGAGGAAGATAAGGAGCGAAACAAGGACTATTGGTTAAAAAAGTGTTTACAATTAAAAAAATGTTCTAATGGGAAAGCATATGTGGTTAAGAAAAGTGAAATAAAAAAACACTGTGTTATTAAAGAACGGATTAATTTATTATTATGTTCTGTAAAAATAAAGTTACATATATGAAAGTGAAACAAAAAATAATATTTATTAAGGCGCAACGCCGTAACATACAGCTAAGAATTCTCAATCGACAATATCGTTGACGTCGAAGTCACCGCTCTGTTTTGGTTACCATGCAGCACCTTATATATATCACAAGGATAAATGAAAAAATTCCCCCCCACTCTTTCACACACAGTCTATCTACCCAGAATAAAGAGCGTGTTCGTACTTTTCGAGTTGAGAAACTAGGGACTTTAAGTTGTATAAAATGTTTATATCCGGACAGTGGATATCAATTAATCTCATATTGAAAGGTCCCGCAGAGTGCATGAAACTCGTGATGAATTCGTTGAACGCGAGACTTTCTGTCAGAGCACAGAAAGTACACATGGCCATCTGAAGTACGGAAGGCTAGCGACATACTTGACGGAACTCTTGGAAACGTCAGTTTCAATTTGCTGTATTCCTTTATTCTCAAGTGACAATCGTCTACAACGGCCACGGAATTGTTGAAAATGATGTAGGTGTGTCCCATAGGAGATTGAAACGCAGTGTTAATGACAGCATCGCTAGGCAACTCAATTTCAGAGAAACTGCGCGGCCAACCGTTTTGCAATTGGAAACTAAGATAGGAAAGCAAGTACACGGATAGGAAAACAAGTAACCATCGCGCGCGGCGAAGAGCATGAGCTCGCCGGATGGTTGTTGATAAACCGCATCCAACTTTGTAAAATAGGATGGGAGAAAGCGCAAGTATTCTGTCAACAGACGTGGATAAATATGCAGACCCCAGTTTGCAGACGCTATATACACGTATTTATCTTTTGTAATAGACGTAATGGTGCTTGTTAAAAGTATTGCGTCGGGATTGCGCACCTCGCACGCGTTCCTAGGTGGCGGTAGAAGTTTGGGTTTACGCGACAGCGACGGCGGCTGCGGTGTACATATATGTATGTATATATATATATATATATATATATATATGTGTGTGTGTGTGTGTGTGTATATATATATATATATATATATATGTAACACATCACGCATATTTTTCACTTATGTAAGCACAATGCGGAGTAGTCACGTATCATGTACGTAAGAATAATTGTTTACATAATCAAATGACTTTGATCAAAGAAAACTTTAAATAAAATTAAATAATGTATTAGATTTCGCAAAATGTTCATGTCATTTTTCCCTAAATATGTATCGCAAAAACAACTCAAACTTTCCGCGTTTCAATCTATAAATAAGATGATGTGACTTCATATAAATTGGAATTGCGCCACGTAGTTGTAGTATAAAGTTACCAAGCCACCAAGTGTAACGATTTATTTAAGTGTGAGATTATCCAAGTTTGTATTTTCAAAAACAGTGTCTGTGTATCTTCAACAAAAATAACAAAATATAACAAGATAACAAAGCAAAATGTTACATGTAAATCCTGCAAATGTTATTAATATGTTAATTGTGTCATTCCAAATTGTAATTATTCCACAAACACCTGTAAATAATAAAGAAATTGAATTACATGATACTATAAAAGATATTATACAAAATGCAATGGATGACTTATTATTTGCTATGGAGACCAACACTACATTAAAATTCGAGAATTATTGGGATGCAAATATATGTGATGCAGAATTTGTTGGAGCAGACAAAGTAGAAGAACTTGAAGAAAGTGATGAAGATGAGGAAGAAGATACTTGTGTACACCAGAAAAAGAAATTGTAAATAATGACTATAAAAGAAAAGCTGTTGAGTTCTGGAAAAGTGGAAAAAAAGGCATTACACGTTATCAACAGTACATCGTTTTAAAAAGGTAAAGTCCTTGTCGCAATTGTATAAATGGGATCTCTCTTTACAAAAAGGTGGTACTCATAGACAAAAACTATTAGATATTTCTCAATATGTCTTGAAAAAGTTCAAAGACGCTAACAACAACAATAGAATCATTCATGATTTAGATCTACGACGATGGGCCTTAGAAGCAAAAGAACAAATTAATCTTCCTCATTTTAAAGCAAAAGCAACATGGTAGTAAATTTAAAAAAAAAGCATGGAATAGTATCTAGAAAGATAACCAAATTTATAAACCGTTTGTCGAAGACAAATCAAGAACAATTACAAACTGCATGCCAAGAATTCATAAGTTCTGTGATCATCAAATCATTTATAGATCTTTTTGAAATACAAAATATATATAATGCAGACGAAAGTAGGTTCAATTTGGAAATACAATCAGGCAGAACGTTAACAATACAAGGTGTCAAAACAGTCGAAGCCATAGTTCAATCACAATCAGCAATTACACATAGCTATACCATTATGCCTACAATTTCTGCAAGCGGACAATTACACTTGTCACCAACGGCCTTAAGGACACGGGAGCGGAGGAGCAGTCTACAAGCGGAGAGAAGGTGAATGCCGGTTCCGACAACAAGAAAATCGGACATCTCCGAAAATGACGTTTAAACACCGTGAACGGACCATAGTCCGCATAGGGACTTTAAGAGTGCAACCAGTGTAATAGTACAAGCGCTAGGTTTAAGCATTATTTTAAGTATTATTTTAAGTAATTTTTGTTAAGGGAACGCACCCTGAAAAGCGACTACTTTATTTTGGAATGTTTCTAATGAAAAAAGTCGCGCATACGTAAAAGTCGTGAAATTTTATTTTATATTTTGTTTTTATGTTTTGCCAGTATAGAATAAGGCATATAAAACGTCGGTAGTGTAAAAACTGACAGAAAAATAAAAATTTCATTTTTTCTTATTTTGCGCAAAATCAATGCGTGGACGGATATAGCCCTTATTGGCTATATAAATTTTAAGTTTTTGTTTGTTTAGGAACACCCGACCTGAAATAGATAGTAAGACGGAACTTCTAAGAAAAAGTGAGATAGAAACACACAAACACACAAACACACACACTCACGTACACAAAAAGACAAAAATTAGAAACAGTTACAAACGACCAATCAGATAAGAGTTACATCTAGGGACATGTTATTAAGACACAAGACGAAGTAGTAAGACAACTAAACAACACAGAAACGGACGAAACAACACACAGACAACAGAAACAATAACACCCGACCAAATACACAGTACATAACACCTGGTTAGGGAAACGTGCAAACGGAACGTACCCACCTAAGGGAAAGTGCAAATGCACGCGCGAACCGTGAAAAGCGGACTTAACGATCGCGGTCGGACGATCGCGCTCAGATCATCCTCGGAGAGATGTCAGTTCGGGTACGTTTACAGCATGCTGCAGCGCGTGGATACGCACACAGGCGAGCAGCCGCGTACGTGTGCGCTCGGCGTTTCGGTCAGCTTCGGGCGGTAGAAGAGAACAGACATATAGAACGCTCTCTTTCTATCTCGAGCTATAGCTAATGCTGCAAGCCGCGAAAATCATGCCTGGCTTGTTCGTTCTGTCTCGCGCGTCGCTCGTATGTCCTTTTTCTCTCCATCACTCTCTCTTTCTCTCTCTTTCTCGTTTCCCGTATTACTTAAAGAAAAATGAAAATAAAAAGTGTAATATTATTATATTATTTTATATATAAATATAAAGTAAATAAAGAAATTATGAAG